CTCTTGAGAAAGTATATTTTTCTGTGCTCCCCTAAAAATTGTCTGGAAAATATCCTCCTCCTAGGCTTGGAGAGGTCAGATTCTTCACCTGCTACTAAAACAACGTTCATCTATGGGTAGATGTAATCAAGAGGCCAGAAGCAATCTGCCCACAGTAGCATGGCTTCCAGCCTAGTTTAATCTATTGTACTTCTCAGTTAGACGCTACTGAGTCATGGAAACGTTGCCTGTAGTTTGTGTGCTGCAGTGTTGCCTTTGGAAATGGAGGGGGGAAAGCCCCACACACCATGTCTCTTGCTGGAGGAGCTCTCCAGTGCAGAGGAGCTGGACTGCGTGGGCTTTTAGCTTGTGTGTTTGTGTTTGCACAGCGCTGCTTCTCCTGTGACAAAAATAGCCTTGGGGAAAGGCATAATCTTCTTAAAGCCTCTCTCCCCCTGTCCCTCTGCATTGTTTCATGCGTGTCAAAGAATACCGAGTTTGTCCGCTAGCTTATCAAGTTTCCCCTATTCCACTCACGTAGGTTGGCATCATTGCAGGACCTGAAGGCACACTGTGGGGGGCTGCGTGATAACAGCGGAGGATGAGGCAACACTGGGTTAAGATGGGTCTACTCTGTCCCGCCAAGGTCCCTCCAGAAGATGTCTCCGGCCCTGGAAATAAATCTAGGCAGATCTCTGGGGCAAACTGTTCTTTTCCACAGGAACTGTTGCTCATAATAAAAGTCTGCAGAAGTGAAATGAGGTGATCATTACTGTAGAACAGGTTTTATGTAAAGATGTATATACAGCTCAAATCAAAATGATCCTTTTGAAATAATTAGAAATGTATTACAATAGTGTGACTTTGCAAACTCTTTGTTCGTTATTACTGCCTTAATCTTCATAATAGTGAAAGACATTCAAATGCTGAATGATTTTTCTCTGGCCTAGATGCTAGGATTTGAAGATGAGTTCCACTTTCCTTAGCTTTGAATAGGGCATCTGAGCTAACCTCTTACATTTTGTAGTTAGTTTTTGACCCACTGATTTCCGTTTCCGTACTTCAAAAATGTAGTGTGAAGCATACTGCAAATCGTGGCATCACACTCCACAATTGTGAAATTCAGACCTTTCTCATCAATAGTGAGACCAAAAGTGAAACAGAGGATCCTGAAATAGCAGAGAACAAAGCATTTCAAAACAAGAGTTTCAGAATTTGATGTTGGCTGTGAGTGAAACGGAGATAAGTTATGGTTAAGAGAAAGATTTTTCTTAATTGCATTCCCTGTAAATGATATTATTTATTACATGTCTATTCCTAATTAATTCATCTTCACTGGGAGAGAAACCTAGTACTCCTCCTATGTAAAATTGCTAAAAGCTTTTAAATTAGCATAAACAATAATTTTCCATTCTCAGTTCTTAAGAGTGAGTAGAGGTAATATATATACTTTCTCTTTATTCATATGCTGTATTTGCTATAGGATGCATACAAAGAACAGAGCCACTTATTCCGTATGGCTCAGATACTGGGAGTCCCCCCCCATCCCTCGTCTGCCCTCGCATCCCTTCCTCTTCTCCAGCTAGAAGGAAGCAGAAGAGAGACAGTGATTTCCAGCCGCAAGTTCACAGATAAAGTCAATGGCTGGCATTGTAGCTGAGTGTTAACACCTCATGTAGCCTGAAATGAGTGATACTTAGTAATACAACTTTAACCTTTATAACGTGCCGTAATTTGATTCTCGAACCATCTATATTCTCTCCTTGTTACAGCCTAAGTAGCTGTAAGGAGTAGGGAGAACAGACAACTATAATCACCACGCGGGGCGCGGGGAAGGACAGAGAGATGAATCACTGAAATTCCCATCGCAGTTTTCAGATTTTAGCCTTGTTCTCACCATTTGATTCTAATGTCAGGAAATGAAAGAAACATGATGATATTTTATTGTGGTGTTGGTGTTAGCTGGTCAGATGGCAGAGCACCCAAAAAGTCCGCAGCTGTTGTCCAAGCTTGGAGTTGCAGATGTTTGGTCTTGAGTGGCTTCAAAAGAGAAATAATTAGGTTGTGGTTAAATGAGTATGAAAGGTAATAATATATCTGTAATATATACTCTTCTTTTTTTTTTCTTTTTTACTTTAGTCACATTCTTAAAGGAGGAAAGACATTTCAGGGGGAAAGTAAGACTGCAATTGTTTTTTTAGCCTTTGCCACTATCTTTCAGAAGTTGTTTAAAAAAAGTAGGTCGCGTTTAAGTGTGGTGACGTACCTAGTTTATGTAATCTAATCTAAACTGTTTATATGTTCTACTGTCACACGTGGACATACGTATGTACATATATATTTAAGCTATAAAACTTACAGATCACAGTACGTGGTCAGTGATTCCATTTTTTCCCATTACTGTGATATATACAATATATGGTACGACTGACAGGCTCCAGTGCTGTGCAAGGGTTATCATTTAGATATATAGGATTTGCTAACAGTATTGGAAGTAGAAAGTGATGTACTGTGGTATGGAGTTTTGTCATCATGAATTGAGAAAGTTTTAAAATGAGCAGTGGAGTCATGACCGAGTACTGCAGATCAAAAAGCTGCTGATTAAATATTTATTTCTCTTGTAACTCTGCTATGTTTTGTATGTAGCATGTGTTTTATAGATAAATGTTTTCTCTAGGAATGAGGGGACTGTACATGGTGCTTGACATCTGCTTTGTGTATGTGTAACATGCTTGGGTCCAGACACTCCAAATGGCCTTATTCTAGCCTCAAATATTGAATGAAAGGTCCAGGGTCTAAGCATCCTTCCAATGCAAGTGATTATCCTGTAAGAAAGTCTTGTCTCCAAAATAAGTCTTTTGACCTTTTGGTTTAAAAAAGCTTTTGTTAGTCTAGGATGAATCTTGCCTACACTGGCACCTGGACAGGTTTAATCCAAGAATAATGAAGAGCTGAAAAACATTTTCAGGAGAAGCTGATTTTCTTTTTTAAAGGCAACTCTTTAAGGTAGCTCGACCGCGGGAGACAGGGGGTGGTGGTAATCTTATGTTGCATGAGAACGTAAATTAGTGGGTTGAAAGTAATTGAAGAGGTCAGTTGGGCATGGAGTAGTTATCCCAGGGCTGCAGTTTATCCCATAGCTAACAACTGTGGGCTTTTCTGTCTACTCATATGCCTAGCTTAATATGGTAGTGACAAATTGGATAGATGTGGATAGCATAGATGTGACTGTGAGATTCTTGAAATAAATCACATTTCTTATCATGCATTTTCAGATTCCCAAAAGTGTGGTGGGGAGGTAGAATATAAAAAAAGTAGAGGGAATCCTGTTGTTAGCCATAACAGAATGGAGGTTGCTTTTTTTTAAACTGTAAGCTATAAACTCTTCAAGAATAACAGGGAGAATAATAAAGAATAATTGTGGAGGTTTCCAAAACTGTAGCTTACAGACCTTAAAAATTAACTGTAAATTTTCAGAAATATGAGCACTGTAAATAAAGGCTGTTTCATGATTGAATAAATAATTTCTGGAGTTTAACGTTGGAACATGTTTTATTGAAATGAAAAATAATTGTGGGAAATTCCTTGAAGTAGTTATAGTTATATCTAAAGGGGATAAAATTATGCTGTTTTGGCAGAATATTTAATGTTCACCACATGTAGCTCCTCATTAATTTTTTTTAACTTTCTAACTCAGTTTTATTTCTGTTCTTCCAAACACAGACAAGCAACTAAAGCCTTCAATCCCTCCTTTTGAAAAGTCTACCTGTACTCTTTTTGTGTAATGATACAAATATTTACTTAGAGGAGTAAAAATTGAAGCTTAACAAATTTTTCTTTAGTTAGGGGATATTTGGTCAGACTTTCACCCTTGCATGACTGATGGCTTTGACAGAAGTAGAATTTGCTATCCCAGTTGGCCTTCAGAGATGTGTTGGCTTCATCAAGTATAGTCTGACTTTCCAGACTAATTTTCTGACCGAGCCTTCAGTGTCTCCTCTTATTTTCTTTGCTTTTTGGCTTTTTAAGTTGTGTATCAGTGGTGTGAATATGCATATAAGGTGACACTGTATAAGACCAATACAGTGTGATTTAGTTAGTTAGTTAGTTATTAGTTAGTTAGTTAGTTAGTTCTGCTGAACAGGTCAGGCATGCCAAATCAGTTGCACTTCAGTTAGCCAGGCAATGGATCACATAAATAAACAATTAATTGTGTTTGAAAGTAGTAAAACCAACAGAAAATCAACTCCATCTCAAAAACAGGGCAACTGACCTTTTCTTAGCTAGTATTGCCCTCAGCAGCCATGTGACCAACAATGTAATACAAGAGATACTGACTCTGATGGGCTTCTCTTCCTTCTTCCACCAGTTGGGGTTTTTTTTAGAGATGCTTATATGTTTTCCATTTACTGGTTTCATCCTAAAGAAGAGCTGTTTAATTTTAAAGAAGAATCTTTCTTTAGCAATCTTGTAAAAACATAAAAATTCTGATGGGGGTATTCACCAAATGTTAATCTTTTTCCACCCTTTTAAAAAGGTGAGATAAAGAAGAAATGGGGGCTAAATTTTGTCCTTATTTTTGTTTTGAAAACACTGCTGTCTTCAGATAAATTTGGCATTAAGTGTATAAGAGCTAGATGGTATAAAAGTGACTTGCATTTGTAAGGTAGGTGAAAGAAATTAGTAGTCTATAGATGCTGAACTGAAAGGATTAATCAAATGTTATTCCATTCTTGCCGGAGAAAACCATTATTGCAGCAAGCAGGTCTCTCTGATGAAGCAAATATTTCATAGAATAAACTGTAAAGTTAAGTCAATTTGTTAGATTGGAAAAAACCTATTTTCTAATATCCATCGTTATTTTGGCATATTATTAATCTCTGTAATTCTCTGCTATGTGATTGTAATAAACATTTTGCCATATTACTGCAGTTTTCTCTGTTAAAAAGAAAAGCTGGTTATCTGTAGTAAATAAAAATATGAATCTTTACTTGATTTTACTTCTTTTTTTCTTTTTGTAGAAGCTGCAAAGAATCAATCCTCCTCACTGTTGTTCAACCTTACCCTGTAAGTATCGTCGGTGTTTTCTGAATTAGTTTCCTAGCAACATAGCAGATTTTTTTCCTGCCTATATTCTGTCTGTGTCTCTACCTTATCTGTGCAATAAAAAGAAATAAGTGAGGTAAGGGCTGTGTCTCTTAAAGGTGATGTTTAAGACTGCGTTACTGCGTCCTGCACTCAAAGAATGCATTAGCAAGTTAAATAATAACGGTATCTTTAAACTCATACCAGGAAAATAGGTAGAGCAGGGTGCTGAGTTCTGCTTCAACTTCTGATCCGTTGCAGCTCCTGGGTTTTTCTTGATTCTGCCTCCGTCCCACAGAGTTACGCTGCCTTATCAAACCAGCTGTACCTTACGCAAGGGAGGGCTCTGTCTGCATCTCCAGCGCAGGGCGTGTGGAGGTGAGGGGAGAAAAGAGATAGACAGGCGATTGCGTGAGGCCAGCTTGAAGGCACTGGGAGAAACTGCAGCCCACCTCAGAGCTGGCTGATGCGACGTGCCTTTGCACCTCACTCAGCAGTTTGTGGGAGTGGGTTCATGACCTGTCAGCTCAAACCCATCTGCCATGAAAAAGGAGAGAAACCAAGCCAGGGGAGGAAGCACATCTCTCTCTTCCCATACATCCATGCATAGCTGTGCATACCTTGCAGGCTGTTGAGGAGCCTCAGCCATGCATCAGGAGTGATTTCAGCTTCAACAAGTCCATTCAGCTCCCTGTTGGCTAGCCTGATACACAACAGTTTTGATTAACAAGGGATAATTGCATCCTTTTCACCCAAGAATAAGAGATGAGATGGATTTGACACGAAGATGTGAAAACAAGTTTATCTGATGAAGCTGCCAAAATACACATCTTGCAAATGCAACTTGGCCAGTGCTGTGTGGCTTCATAGTACTCGTTAGCCTTTCTGGCTAGTTTAGAGGTGGCTGTGTAGTTGTGCTGGTCCTGTACCCTTTTTAGAAGCCAGTCTGCACAGCAACTAAATCATGGGGGAAAAGCACGCAGTCCGCAGCAAAACCAGGCAGGGGCTGCCGTGCTGCAGTAAGACCACTGGCAGGAAGGTGAGCTGGGATCTGGTCGACATCAGCCACCTTAAATGAAAATGCAGGCATGGTCTGACTAAATAAAGAAACCTAACCACCTTTAAAGATTGCTGGATTACAGCCAGTGGTTTTGATCACAGGGAATATATATAATATGGGGGAAAAGAAATCCTCACCCACTTGCCTTTTTTATATAGGTTGCCTTATTTCATCCATTGACAGGCTTTATTCTTTTCTTTAAATGTCAGGTGAAGAAAGGGCACGTGCTTTAGTGCAGGTATGCGTAGCCCTTAAAAGCGGACAGTAAAGTGTAGTACGACATGTCTGTGAGGTGGTGTGGCCTGTTTTCACTCTGCTGCTGGTATGAGACCAAGCCTGTATGTATTGAATGTAAGGGAAGCTGAAACCCAAATGAACTGTGCACTCCATGTTCAGTGGGAGACCTTACAGCACAGGTATGGTCCTCCTCCAGCCTTTGACCTGGAGAAGAAGAAAAGTCATGACCTGCTATCTTCCCAGCTCTTGGGGTCCAAGCCCTGTTTGAGGCCTGACAAGGCAGAATCTGTTCCTCTCATTATGTAGCACCAAAAGCTGATGTCACTGAGCTAGGAATGGCACTGAAACACTTTGCTGTCCTGTCAGCCATTTGGGCTGATGTGCCCATCTTATACGTGTATTTGTGTTGCCCCACTCTGGCGTGTCTGTCAGAGTCCCCCATCTGTACCTCAGCAGACAAAGCACACATGGTTTTGGGGGTGATGGACATTTTATCTCACATAGGCATAAAGATTGTCTCCCCAAGAATGTCCACAGAGCGATCAGAAGATGCAATTGATGGAGGTGTATTGGTGCAAGCTTTAATTGACTCATTTTTGTCCCAAAGCTGGGATGCTTCAGTGGCATGAGCTTAGTTGGGAGAGCCTCAACTGCAGGACTGTTGCATCCTGCAGATTTTCTCTGGTTTGTGCACTCTTATTGTACCTCCCTACCTGTCCCGACCAGGGTCTTGTTGATTCATGGCATCCTTCCCTTATCACTTTCAAGCCCAAGTTTTCCTGCAGTGTGCATAGGGATGGGGAGCAGTTGGGATGCTGCCCGTGTGTGCAGCCAAGTTTGAGCCCTGAAGCAGTGCAGGGTTTATGCAAAGCCTGGGCTGTGAAGACTCTTGGGGACTCCTGGGTCACCTTGAACATCTGGCCCATCTTGGCATTCATACTGCTGCAATGTTACTGTCAGTAGTGCCTGAGCCTGCTACGTGACACCCCTCTCAGCAATGCCATCCTGGGTGTTGCTGCACTCCGGCTATGTACCTGTCCTGGTCTTCTGTGCAGGGGGTCCTCTGGCAAATACATTTTGTCTTACAGTTTGGAAACAATCCTTATGTGTTCAAAAATTATGATGCGCATGTGTTTTCCCCTTTTCTTTAATTTTGCCTCCTCCATTTTTCCTTTTCCTTTTATTTTGCCAATAAAACTGGAAAGATGAAGTAGAAACCAGACAAAGGAAAAGTGAGAGCTTTTAAATAAAGACTGAGCTTCTTCCCTATTCTTGGCAGAAATACATCTTTACAAACATTTCATCGATCTCTCTTCTTGATGGTGAACCTTTTTCTTTCTATCATTGCATGAAAAATATCTGCCAAGATGGATTACAAGAGTGCTGTTTCTTAATTGTTTTTATTTGTACTATTTAGAGTGTGTTTTGTTTTCATGCTTTCAAGTAAACATCCTTTATGATTGCAGGTGAAAGTAGACGTAATCCAGATTTATAGTACACTGTAGTTCACTTAGTACTTTTTGAAAGCTTTTGTGGATCATTTTTGCTTAAGTGCATTCAGTTTTGTTTAATGCTTAAACTCATTAAAATTTCATTTTAATTACAATCAAACCAAAGCATTAGGCTATCTTTTTCTTTCCATCAATCTACAAATCTCTGCTAGGTTCATATCACCACTGCTCATAAGGAGGTCACTGAACAGCTAAAGCGGTTGAAGCAGTTCACTTTTGATTTCTGGAAGTATGGCATTTGATTATAATTTCTGACCATTTTATTCTGTAAATGGACTATCATTCTGATTGTTGCTGTATTAAGTTTTAAGCATTACTCAAATCAAATAACTTGCCTCTTTTGATCTGTTCAGATTTTATGTGTAGAGATCATTTGATAGGTTGCTTTCATGATTAATCTCTTAAGCTCCTTGGATGTAGTCCAGGCCCAACTGAGATCTATGGCAGTTTTGCTGTGCATAAGTTCTGCAATGGGAAAAGGATAAGATCTTTTTCTGTTTTGAAAGAGATGCTTCCTGTTGTAACACAGTTACATGTCTGAGACATGACGTTTGCAGAAAAACTACGATAAATAACACTTATTTATGGATCGTAGTGATTGTGGCAACAATCTTACTGAGAGTCTCACAGTATTTTTCATGGTGCTTTGCCTTCTGGAGTCGTGTAATAGCAGCAGCTACCATACCTAGACTTGTGGTTGTAAAGAAGGATATAAAAAAGAAACAGGTTTGTCACAAAGACTTCAAAATCTAAAGTGAAAAAGACTACCAAGGTGTAGTTTTAGAAATCATTTGGAAGTCAGACGTGAGCATTTTGAACAAGATGATTTTTGACTGCTTGAAGTTGTGAAGAAACGATGGCTTTTTTTCTTTGAATGTGTACATTTTTTACAGTCATCCTGAGGACCTTTTCCAGTGCATAACTTCCACATCAGCTTTTTGGTATGGTCAGTTCCGTACATAGCTTTAATCCTACACAGGAGAGGATCATGATGTGGTTAATGACAAACTTGCCATGACTGCATTGCCTCCTGGAAGTGCTGGCTGGTCCATGGCCACTGTCCAACCACTCTTTGCTGTTTGAAGCAGCCTCCTTTCGTGTCAGACTTGTGCTGCGCAGCCTTTCTTCTTCCATCTGCGTGTGGTGCAAATCCCAGTGAGCACTGCTGCTCCTGACCTTTCTTCCTGGAGGCCTCCTCTTAGGCTATATGGATTTTTCTGGAGTGTAGTTGTACAAAATACATGATCTTTTCAGCAGTGAAAACCGTGAGAAAATTCAGTGTGAACTTCCATGTTAATTGTTTCAGCAAAGTGGAAAAGAGCCCCTCCACCCTTCACCCTGTCCACCATTTTCTCTTTGTAGTTCTCCCCTCCCCGCCCCCCGCCCCAGTTGCCTTTAGGTCTCTTTTCCCTCTTCATTAGCCCTTTCTCCTATCTCAGGTGCATTATCATTCATATAGTCCTTCATTTGTTCATTTTAGCCTGGGTTTGTATGGGGTGAAGGTTTCCTTCATTCCCAAAGGACCTCATCCTTGCAGAGCTGTAGGGCTGAAAGTAGTATGGCATGGCTAACTTTTTTTGTATTTTTCTGCACTTAAGATCAGTCACCTGTGTATGAGAGGTAATCATGAATGTAAAGGAGTAATCCATGAATGCAAAGAGCTGAACTTTGGAGAGGCAGAATCCCAAAAGGCCACTGGAGGGGATTTTATGGAAGACCTCCACGTTTAATAAATAATAGGTGGCCCAGGACCATCTAGTCATGAGATGCAATGTGTGCACGTTCCACAAAGTCTAAAGCTGACCTTTGGTTTCGCTCATGTTTTTTGGGACAATCACAGTAAGCTAGGCTGTCGTTTGCTGTAGGTGGAATGGATTGGATTTTCTCAATGCCTGCATTAAAGTAAGGTTTGGCTATTCCCCACCTTACAGGTACATGTTATACATGTATGGGACTAATGATCAGACTGTGATTACCATCTAAAAATAGTAAAATATAAATAATGCAAATAGTAAAATGTAATTGTCTATGATAGATCACCAACTTTTAAGAGAACCCAAATCTGACCACTATTTCGGTAATTAAATTTGTGCCAAGAGTTTAACAAAGAAATATCCCTGATGATCAGCTGTCAGTGCCCTGTGGTTATAACAAATTACTGCGTGGTAAAACAGCTCCACATTATTGCTTCCGTGTCCCTACCTGCTCTTCTACAATGCTCTTGTGAGCCAGTGTAGTTGTTTCAGCCTTGCTTACAGCTTTTACAGTATTTAGTTTGCCTTTGGGCATTATGTAGCCTTTGAGCATTATGTACTGTTCCACTTAATAAATTTAATTCTTCTTCTTATTCACGTTTTATTTGCTAGCTAAATTTTGTCTCATAGAGTTGCCTTTAGGGATGGACCAAAAAGTCAACACATTTTTGCGGTCATGCAATTTTTCCTTATTTCCTAACAAACGTATTTCATATTAAACTAATGACTACTTTTAAGTAACAAACTAAAAATTCGTTGAGTATATACAATTTGTGACTATTTAAAACTTCAGTATTTCTGACAGATTTTGACACTCATTGTCACAAAGCAGGTTTTCTTTTCACCTTGTGGCTGTCCCATACTGCTGCCTTGTTTCGTTTCTGTATGGTAGCTCAGTACTACACTATCCTCTTCTAAATACTAAATCCTTCTTTTTCTTGAGCATGAGTAAAGGTTTTGTTGTGGCAGCACCTCTACTGGCAAGAGCACTCAAAGGGGCTTTTGCAGCAAATAATCGCCATTTCACTTGGAATCTCCCCCAAATTACAGTTTACCTGCAAAAGCAGACAAAGTACTAGACATTCTTATTTTCATCGAAAAAGTTTCCCTCAAAATGAAGGATATTGTTTCGAAGAGCTATGCGAAAATGACCTGCTATAATGCTGCTAAGTAGGATCTAATTTTGAAAAGTCCAGAAAATGAGAAAAATAACATTTTCCAGAAAGGCTCCTCTTGTTATAGTAATCTCGCATGTTTTGACACTGCTGATGGGATGCCTATAGATTGCAGTCCCTAGTAAGTAGGGTTCAAAGGAGGGTCTCAGTATCGTTTTCTCCAAGCAAATCTCTATGTAATGCTTCATTTCTCTTGTTAGCGGTTTCTCCAGGTAGTGTTGAAATGATCAGCTGAATTTTTACTGAATTTGTGTAAACAAGTAAAAATTATTTAAATTCCTGATAAATTTGAGCTTTTAACAGGAAGCAGTGCTTAGGTCACACAGTGTGAAGTTTGTGGGTTTTTGAAGTATTTTGACTCCTTGTTAAAATATATTCCCTCGTTTTGCAAAAGTCACTCTAAATAAGCTGTTTTTATCTGTGACAATGCAAATACTTTACTTGCAGTGATAAATGTTCTGCATTAGTGTAAACACCTCCTGCTTAAGGTCATTAACTGAGGATAATGGCTTCCATTTGGCTAAAAGATGGAGTATCAGAAACAAATGAACCTGGCATTCTCAGAATCATTAATTGATAGCATTCTTCACCTACAACCTGAAGACATTAAAATAGAATAGAGCAGCACATAATCATGCTGATGCTTAGACAAGCAAGTTTCGACAATCAAACCCAACTGTTTTCCTAGGTATTTGCCGCACTCTTTTGAAACAGTTCCTTTCGCAAAGAGAAAATGTCAAGTGCCAAGTTGATGCAAAGGTAGAAACAATGAGATTGTGCAATTAAATGCAAAAGCTGTGCTATTACTCAAACCTTTAACCAGCAGAGAACATTCCCCCAAATACCTGGCGCAGCTGTTGTAGTTTTTCTTACACCCCTGGTTTATAGCTTTTTACAAAGCAATCTGCTTCCAGGCTCACCCAGAGTGTCTGGCAAGGGGCTGGAGTCCTGACCACGTTGCCACAGCAGAAGTGGGAAGGGAGGGAAGCCTCACGTTTTATGGCAGGCCATGGTGTGCTCCCCTGGCTGTGCAATATGTACATTAAATCCCACATCTCGGAGGGGTTCTTGGGAACTCGCGTATGTTCAAATCTTTCAGTTGTGTTGGACTCCCCTATCACATTTTTGTAATAACATAATTTAAGTGTTTATGCCCCCCACAAGTGACTTTTGAGGTGGTAGAGAGGAAAAGAAGGAGGTTGTAGAGAGGTTGTAGAGAGCAACAGAGCCACATAGCGGTTTGCCAGATTTGCTGTATAGGAATAACCTTGCCAAAATCCAGAAGAAAATTTGGCAGTCTGCCTGTAAAGAGAGCCAGACTGGTGACTCATCTGCAATAAGAGCAAACAACTGTAAAAAGCCTCTTCCAACAAGAAGAGTAAGTGAAAGCCGCTCCTTTCCCCTTGCCCTTGCACGGGAGAGCCAGTCAGCCTACTCCTATAGCTGTGCTGCCCTGTGGCAGCAGGGATCAACAGGTTGCGGTTACTTGGATGGCATATAGACTATCCCCCTTACACACTGCAGAAAGGGACTACGTGGAGAGCAGGGAAATCAGAAAAGGCATGTGTACAATTATTACATTAATCTTGCTATTACTGTATACTGGGTCTTTCTAGGAATTCATCGCTAGAGTACAATATGTAAGCATGCTTCTTCAGCGTTTCCATGTTGTCCCTTCTTGCTGTAGAAATGTTTGGGGTCCCCCACCCTGAGACATTGGCTTTTTAAAAAAAAAAAGAACTTTTTTTTTTCTTTCTTTTTGGTTGTTGCTTCTAATCTTCTGGGGTCCTTTGCATTTTTTCAGCACTGGCTTTGGAAGCTGAGCTTGGTTTGATCTTGGGGTTGAATTTCCTGTCACTTACTGTTACTGTTAAAAAGATGTATGGTCATAGCTGCTAGAGAAGAGGTAAGAATGAATGAACCGTAAAAGTGAAGAAGCATTCATTTTTATTTCTTGGTTCTATTTTGTGCTCCAGGAATTATCGGGTGGTTCTGATATTTCCTGGGAGAGCGTGGCATCTTTCATTCCTTGTTCACTGGTTGATACTGAGCCTATGGTAATAGTTACCACATTTTCGATGTGATAATAATTCAGTGGCATACAGAAATGAGCTACACTTCTTCCTACCAGTTTCTAGAAACAAGGCTCTTGTATCACAAAAAAAAAACTTTTTAAGCAATTTCAGCAGAGATCAGAGGCGACAGGAGCACATGGCCTTGGACTGCTCCATCACTCCTGCAGGTTGTTAGTCGAGTCAAAATTTGAGTGATGGTGACAAGACTGTCTGTGTTTACAAGGGCTGCTGTCATGCCACATTGATAATAGGAAGTTATTCCAGGATCATCATCACTGATGCCTGCACTAATTTCTCGCAGGCAAAACAACATGAGTTAGTCTTTTCAGTATCCAAAACCAATAAGGCCACTTCTTAGGAGTTAGGATAAGATTCTGAAAATCTTAATTTACATTCTGTTGAAACTAATGGACCAAAACCTGGCCCAAAGGAGCCCAGTGATTTTCAGCCAAAGCCAGGATTTCTTCCATTGCCCATTACCCACGGTTATGGAGTTAGGCAGTATCAGAAGCTCTGTGTTTGTAACTGACCTGAGAATAAAACTACCTTGCTTCTGCTGCTTAAAACGGAAATCCCGTTGACTGTGAATATTTAATTTGTTACTAAAAATGGGTTGTTAGTCAAACTCCTCAAACGGAGAGAGAATTTTTTTCCAAGGGCTGAACCCTTGATCACAGGTGAATCCATTGAATAATGTAGTAGGTAAAATTTTCTTCCCAGAAGAAAATTAGGGATGTTTCTGGACTTCTAATCCACGAAGTCCCACAAAGTGTCTGATCTGTTGTAGCTAAGCCTTTCACGGGGCTTGTGTAGGGGATACATTCAGGGGAAACCTGCTGGCCTGCAGGTGCCTTTTGGTGGCTCTGAGCTGTGTTTTGAAGTGGACTAATACAGTGAGGCACCACTGCGCTTGGAGAGCTCTGACACTTCTTTTTGCAGAAGTTGTGTGTATATCTGTATCTAGTGGATCATAGATTATGCAGAAATTTTCCATTCAGTGTTTGAAGGAAGGGTCACTGGCTGGTCACCGGTCGGTGTCCGTTCATGCGAAGAAGTTTGGTTGACAGCAGTCGTTGTGGAAGCACTACGAGGAATTTGTATGTACACTGAGAGCCTTTCTCATCACTCCAGTCTGACAGTGGGATAATTTTCAGTGTGTGCAGTATGCATCAGTGATTCTTTATGTGTATGTGCATATGTATTATCTCGGGAAGCATTATGGTTCAACTGTATTTCCATTCTTCAGTGACTGGTTTGCAAAGTGTTGCTGTATACATGGAGTTCCCAATGTGTAAGAAACAGGGGGAATAACTGAAAGAGGAAAGATAGGTTTTAACTTGAATTTATGTGATATATCTTGTCATCATTTTTCCTTCCAGTCTCCTAAATCAGCTTTTATTAGTGCTGCAAAAAAGGCAAGATTGAAGTCCAATCCTGTCAAAGTGCGCTTCTCAGAAGAAGTAATTATCAATGGCCAGGTGTCGGTGAGTATTCAACTACTAAACCTCAGGAAGGACTGAGCATTTCATCCAAAGGTACGCCTCAAGGCTGGAAAGCGAGGGAATTGTATGGTAGGAACAGCGGTGACAGGCTTGCGAAGGGAAGGGTTTTTCTGTTTCTGAAGTTTTAGCAAGATCCATTTTTGAAGTCCATTGGGCTCATAATATTGAGAAAAATTTGTCCCTTCTTAAAATAAATCTAAAATGCTAGCAAATGCATTTTGTGGTGATAGCACATATATGTCTTTTCGTCTTGATAATGCTTGCTTTTTTTTTCAGGGCAATTTTGTAACAGGAAAACCTATAAACTCAAGAGAAGTAGCATGCCAGGAAAACAGATTAACATTACCATACAGACCTCTTTAAAATTTGTTTTATCTACTTGAAGCTATTTCCAGCCCTCAGGCAAAGTCACCCTCCCTTTGAGAGGCGCTGAACTCCTCCTTAAACATGAACTCCCGGCTCATTTTCATTATTTGCCAGAACATCGTTTCACACTGATGTCTTTATCCAACTCTCTTCCAAACATGAATTGATACTGCATTTTGTCAAAAGCAATTTTTGCCTTTTTTAAAGCCTGGTTTCCCTTCCTTTTTCCTGTTTATTTTACTATCCTTGTTACGAATCGTCATAGTTAAGTAGCAATATTATATGTTACTCTTTTTAAATGATGACAGATATTAGCATTTAATATCCAGCTATAAAGAGAATGTAAAACATCTTGATTGTAATTCTTACTAATGAATTCCCATTTTGTAGATTCAAGACATTAAATAGCTCACTATATTCAGAGAAAAGGTAATCTCTTTTTCTGTTTTATTGAAAATGTTTCAACTTTAGAGGTAGCATTTATTGTCAGAGAGATAGTATTTAGGGAAAGAAACTCCAAGCTAGACATAAAATGTATGTGAACACTTACATTTTTCTGGGAAAGAGACCTATAGAGTGCAGCTGTAATGAGCATGGCTAGACACTTGCAGGGCATTGCTAATTCTGCTTTCAATTTGAGCCAACACAATCCTTTTCAGTTGTTACCTTTCCATCTGAATGATATCCTTCTTTATAGAACAACATCTAGTTTTCCCTTGTTACATGTTGTAATCTGATTCACTAATTTGCTTGGCAGGAAACAGTTAAGGACAATTCACTTCTTTTCATGCCAAATGTTCTAAAGGTGTACCTTGAAAATGGACAAACCAAATCTTTCCGGTTTGACTGCAGCACTTCAATAAAGGTAGGCTAGATGAACCTGGGTATGCAATGCCAAAAATGCCAGTTAACTCTTTTCAAGACCTTCAGTAATTACAATTTACTTGGAATGCTTTAAGAACAAAATTACTAGTATGTTCAGTTGGGGCTGGACTCGTAGTTCAGAAATAATGAGGTTTTGGTCCATTCTTCTGCTGCTAAAAATGTATTGTATTGTCAATGAAGAAGAAGTAGAAATTATCATTTTAATATGCCTGGTATGCAATTAAAATTGCGTGGTCCTATCATTTTGATATGCTGCCAAATACTAGCATGATTTGTCAGCAAAAGTCAGGAGATAAGAAGATTAAGATGTTGGTTGCTAATTGAATATCATCTAGCTTGTCATCCAGTGAACTTGGGGTGGGATATTGTAGGGTTATGCTGGTGATAAATTGCTCGTCTCAGTGTAATGCCCTCCATACTTTCCGTAACACATTTCGCATGGAGAAATAAAGAGGTGAAACCCTGGCACACAACTGAGGCTGCTGGGGAGTGTCAGTGACACTGTTCCCCGTAGGTTCCTAAACCAGAGGCGGTGGCAGTGTCTGTCTGTGAGTGCTGTGGAGCAGTGTAGTAAGCAGCCCACTAGCACTGCTGGGCATGCTGCTAGTCTCTCCAGCATTTTTGTTTGGGTGAGCTAGTTTTAACACAAACTGGTTACCAAATCTAGTTCACCGCATGGTAGGGTGCATGCCTGGGACACGGAGACAAGAGAGATGCACGGGTGGGAATGTTCAGTGAAGGCTGGGGATGCAATTTTCAGCTGCACTGTCAGCTTTTGCTGGCTTTAAGGGATTGTAAAGCTCTGCGTATTTGAAGAAAGGCTGCTTTTCTGCTCACTGTGATTCAGCAGTATGCTCAATCAGTTAGAACACAAGGAGAGTGATTTACTAAGGTAAAACAAGAGGAAATTTACTCCAGTCTGAAGGCAAAACAGATATTGAAGTTACACTTAAAAATGGGCTGCAATATCTGTTTATAGTTCCTATATATACCGTAGCCATAAATTGAGTGCAGGTAATGGAGACAAGCCTCCACTCTACAGCCATGGGATACTGAATTCCTTCAGTCCATTTGAGAATTTGGTTGGGTGAAGAATTAGGAGACATGCTTCTTGTAGATAGTGAGGTCTCCATACCCTTCTAAGGCCCACGAGCCCACTTTCCAGTTTTTTTTTTTTTTATGAGGATAAAACCAACCAACTTGTTCCAGGATATTTTGCCTCTGAAGATCAGTCTTTGGCTGTCACATTAGATTAGTTTTCGGTAGTTCTGTCATGAGTGTGTCATGTACTGTGAGACCATATATCTAATCTGAAGTCATTTGCAAAGATACCGACGTGGGCTCAGCGACCTAGCTGTATTGATGTTGTAAGCCTGCTTTGACTTTAGTCATTCTGACTTTTTGTAGGAATAATTTCCTTCGCATCTAATTCAGGCAATTATATATTCCGTAGCCTGCACACCTATATATTACATATTCTTGCATGTATGTGTGTGTATATTCCTCATTGTGGACGGGTGGGTGTGGATTGCTGCTTCTTTTCTTAAACTGAGGTGAAGTAGACGTGCCCCAGTTGAGTCAAAGCAAATGCAGGTTTTTTCCGCCCCTAGCAGTCCAGTAACTCACCACTTAACAACAAGGGTGCAACCAGTGCCTTACCTGCGTCCTCGCTTTCCTTATTGCGGAGAGCCAGCACCTGGGCTCGTTCCAAGTTACTGGATGAGAGGATAGATTAGCAAAAAATTTGGTTCAGTAATTGTGCTTTAGCATCATATTTTAAAAGTTCCAAGACAGCTAGCAGCAAACAGTGCCATTATTACCCCCTCTTAAAAACTTACTTTTAATATTATGTCTCTTCATGTTACCGTTATGCCCCTTGTCTTTGAGCATAGTTTAGGAGCATAAATAAAATTCCCCATTAGTCAGAATAGTGTAATATTAACCTCCATTATTTAGAGTGGTTGCTTGCAATCCATTACTACTGTCTTATATTCTTTACGTGGTACAGAGTTGTCCCCATCCTCCTACATACGTTTTTCATCCTTCCACAAATTTGGTGTTGATTTTCCATAAACACACTGTAGTTGATCAATTAATCTTCCTAAATTATATTAAAACACTTGGATTACAATTCGTCATGATCTCATTACTAAGTCTTATCCATCTGGATACTTAAGTATATCTAAAAATCTTTTGGATGGATAGAAATGTTTTAATCTTTTCACGAACATAATGTGAAATTATTTTTAAATGATGGGTTATTATATATTTCTTTTTCCTATTACATTCACTAAAGCAAAAGATACCTTGCCAGATGATATTAATACTCTGTGTATATTTACAAAGCATTATATGAAAGTAAAGTAGGGATTGGTGGAATGGTTCTTTGAGGAGGTTTGTTTAGCTGTTATTTTAAAAACAATTGTTCTCAAATTGATTACCTTTAGACATAATCCAATGTGAAAAAAACTAATTAAAAGTCTATAAAAATGGCTTTTATGCCATAAATTAACATGGTCCCTGAATTTAGAGCTATTGTTCTGCACAGGTGTATCATCATCGTTGACTTTTCTGTCAGCATTTAGAACTCAAGAATGTCTATTAAACACAAGTATCAAGAAGTAGACTTAAAAAAAAACCCCTTGCCATAAGAACAAATAAAGACCATTCATTTAATTTTTTTTTTTTAACATACATATTTGGTTTGTACTGCTGGGTAGCCCTGCCCCAAAAGTAAGTGAAGACAAGAGCGGCAAGACTGTCTCTCTTTTGCTGATGGAAAGGTTTTATTTCCAGGGAGACAGAGAGAGATGATTTAAGGGCCACACAAGTATAGTTTGCATGTTAAACTGCACAGAAAGTTGTCCATTCACAGCAATCCCATGTATATATTTTTCATGTGCATGTCTGATACCATCTCAGGGATGTCTGAAACAAAGGCACTGATTTTTCACTTGGGTGAACGTGTGCGATGTCCTGTATACTCATGCAGAACAGGCACAAAACACAACCTTCCTCCCGTTTAACATCTGGGCTTCCACCCTGTGCTGCCAATGTGCCTATGTGCAGGGTGCATGGCAGTGAAGAACCAGGTCCCAAGCGCTTCATGAATTTAAGCACATTTTATAAATCCTTTGTTAATTAGGATGTCATCTTAACACTCCAAGAAAAGCTTTCCATCAAGTGTATTGAACACTTTTCCCTGATGCTGGAGCAGAGGGTTGAAGGATCTGGAACGAAACTCCTTTTGCTACATGAACAGGAGACTCTAACTCAGGTTTGTGTAATGATATGTGAAAACAGATATTAATGACAGCGGTTAATCAGTAAATTATCCATCTTTTTAGTTACTCGAGTTAACTGCAAGATTTATAGTTCTATACAGTCTATCAAATAGCAGCAGTATTTAGATGTGGTTGTAAGAATCAAGTTCTCACAGAAAACAATTGTTTTTCTATTATATAGGCATCGTATTTCATTGCTTCATTGGGCCATTAAAAAGTATTAAAAAGTTCATTAAAGATCAGACTGAAAGCTATAAAATATTTATCAAAGCTTTTTTCATATTATATGTGGCCCAGCTAATAAATGTTCTCAAAAGCCAGTAAATCGATGGTAACAATTCTGAGAACCGCAGTCTGCCCAAATTCCTTTAAAAACCTTATTTTGATCTTTGGTTCCTATCTGATTATACAGGTCTGTATCTGGGTGGCAGGAAATAATACTCTTTCTGATGAAGCCAAGTTTGGTTTGTTTACGCAGCAATACATTATGTCACTTCAGTGATGATGAATTGTGACCCAGAAAATGCTGGTGTGACTTTCTTCCTTAGATCAGGGAGGTATGACGAGAGGTAAAGTTGCTTCACAGTTCCCAGCAGAGGACCCTGATTTTAACTGCTCATCATTTTGCCGAACTGTTTACCCTGAAATTTTCCATGATATTTCTATGTTTCAGGAGAACATTACTATTTTTTAAATTTCACCTAAATTTACAAAAAAAAGATAAATGGATTCTTAGATGAGATGGGGAAAAATACTTAATTTAAATGCCAGAATTCCTTTGATCATGTAACTAGAGTCTGTGTAATGGTATGGAGGAACTTAATTTACCAATTAACAGTCTTTCTAGCATTTTCCAACTTCTAAGCATTTGATTTTGCCATGTTAACATTCTTTTTTTGTGGATATAAGCCACCCAATGAATGCACAATATCCAGAAGTACTCGATACTGGCTCTCCTGGCCTAGCTGTCTCTCTTTGAAGTAATTGGTAAAATTCCCATTGAAATCAGAAGGATCAGAATAAACCAACACAGTGAGCTTTCGAAAATCGCATCCAGAGCTTTTATTTATACTTACAGATGAGGTCAGAGACAATGTGAGATAAACATACATTTCAAAAATTGTTAGGGCAAGACAGAGACTTCATTGGAGATTTTTTTAAAGTACAGTTTTATCAGTTAAAGATGTTGATTATAAAGTACACTAACTCTCTAACTACATTGGCCTGATTGAATAAACTACATAAGCTACATTAATTGTCAGGGTTTCTTCTCTGAAATTCCTGTAAAATCAGCAATACTTTAATTTGGCATTATAATGTTGCTGCTGACCATGACTTACAATGGTATTATTGGATTGTCACCTTTTCATCCAATTATTCATTAGCTATGCGGTGGTCCCCCATGAATATACCCAGATTACAGTGTTACATGCTTAACAAAGTTTTGCTGACCAACAAGCAAAGCGGTCTTTTTCATTTTTTAATGTATTGGGAGAGATTTGTCTTGGTTGGAAGTCTAGGGGTAGGTCTCTTAATCCAGAACAACCCAGGAAAATTCCAAAGACCCAATTTCTTGCAAATTCTCTAGTGGATTAAAACAAGCAAGAGAAAGTAAGAATAATAGCTGCTAAGCTGTACTTCACCTGCCTTCTCAGTCAGTCAAAGAAATAAAATGTGACCTCTCCCCAGAAACCTTCTAGCCCTTCTCATTTATGAGTATTTTGGTCCTGCTAGTACTTGGATGGTTTTCATTAAGGTCTGTTTTCCCTGTCCTTTCACTCTGGTTTTGAATGAGTGAATTCTGTTGCTTTGAGGATGAGTTGTATTGGGCAGTCACGCCTATATGAGTCTTTCCACAAGATTATATATATTATGTTCTTATGTGAAGGCCTTAATAAGGACTCCGTGGCAAAGCTCTTTGTTGGATAGAATTATTTTTCTTGCTACCACGTGGTTCTGGAACAGGGTCATGGTGCCCAAGACTACAGACCACGTGGCATGACCAGGTTTGTGCTCTGATATGATTATTGCACTGTCCTAGGTGACCCAGAGGCCAAGCTCGCATAAGATGAGATGTCTTTTCAGGATTAGCTTTGTCCCAAAGGATCCCATTGATCTTTTAAGAAGAGATCCAGTTGCTTTTGAATATCTCTATGTACAGGTAAGTGAAAGCATGGCCATTGTTTAGCATAAAGGAGAATAAAAAGATAGTTGCACTCAGTGTATATATAGATTTATATCTTCACATAGAAAAGCATGGCTGCAGTAAATCCTGGTTTTTGTTTCTGCTGCACAAAGCCAACAAATGCACTTGGGGAATGTGCAAATCTTTATCATCTGCAAAGTCCCCTTCCTTCATAAGTCTCTCCAAATAGTAATGCTTTGATATCTTTCCAAAATATATTTGGCTTTAGAAAAGAGTGAAGCTGAAGTAATTGGTAATACTTATTTCTGGTACTGTAATGTCAGACAGAAATGATGTCTGAAAAGGAACTTCCAGTAAAATGGATGAGAAAACTGATGTGCAAGCAATGTGATTCTCCTGGGTAGCTCACTGGTTAGAATCCTGCTATCCTGAGTCCAGATACACTGATAACCTCCCAACACTCTTTATGAAAGAGGATTACTGTTCTCCCCGGGAAGAATGAAGAAAGCTTACATCAAAATGCTCATGCCGTCTGCTCTTTGGCAGAAGTCCTTGTGTTCTTCAGAAGTGCCCATACCCTGGTGAGCATCTGACACTTCAGAGAGCAACAGTCCTACCTTCAGCATGGTCCTGCTTCCGAGTTCGGGGTTACCCTTCATGCAATGTTAATTTAAAAAAATAAAATAAAAAGAAAGACTATGATTTATTTTTAGTGCAAGATTTTTGAACTTGATGCTCCCTCTACTGGTTCTTTGGCAGAGCTGTAACGACGTGGTTCAGGAAAGATTTGGACCAGAACTGAAATACGACATTGCCCTGCGGTTGGCTGCATTACAAATGTATATTGCAACTGTGACCACCAAGCAAACTCAGAAAATCTCCCTCAAATATATAGAGTAAGTTGAGAATACAGTGTGTTCTTTAAAAGTGAAACAATAGGAGTAACTCGTAGATTCTTTTATGTCTGCACCAATTTTAGGTTTGTTCTTTGTCGCTGAAATTGATTCAGGTGTGTTAAGAGCTGTAAGTATGGTCACCTTTTGGTCATCTGTTCAGGCATGTGAAATAGCCTATAACTGTAAATAAGATTAAGTCACTTGTTTTCAATGTTTTAATGGTCAGATCTAAGTTTATATGGTCTGAATTCTAGGGTTTTGGTAGAGATTATTATAGTAAGATTCGGATGATTTCTTGGTTCAGAAGATTGTAGGGTCTTAGATTCCACTTGAAATATTTCTTAGATATAGAAGGATCCCAGTAGGCACCTGTTTTATGTTAGACAACATGTATTTGTAACTACAAAGAAAAAGAAAATTTCCATAATGCAACTGTGTGTAGATCTGCTTGGATTTAAAAAAAAACCAAACCAAAACTTTTGCTTAGTTTGCTTGCAGAATGCAAATAATAACTGTTCCACACTCGATCTTGTAGAGTTTATCCACCTTGCGGAGGACCATGTTGTACTGTATTATATTAATGAATCAGAAGGAATAATTACTTACAAGTGAAGTGTCAGTCTTCTAACAAAAGAGGTGCTTCAAGCAGAAAACAAAATTTGGTAAAAGGAGGGGGACTGGTTGTTTTTGAGTGGAAAAAAAACCAAAATACAAGTGACAAAGACAACGGTTGACTGCTTTGCATATTCTAAGAAAACCCTAGAAAATAAAATTAAATCTGACATTATGTTGTTAAGTCTTCTGCGATTTTAATCCTATAATGGTGCTTGCCTATGTAATTAAGTGGTGTTTAACAATATAGCATACATTTTAAACATAAAAACTTTAAACTTCTTTTCTGAAAGGCATGGTGGAAGAGATAGAAGGGATGGAAGAAAAATTATGTATCATTTTAAAGCATCTTTTTCATAAGTAATATATAGCTTGAATATAGAAAATAATGTTATTGCAAAACTCTAGACTTGATCAACTCTTGTTCTGTTTCAGGCATTCATTCACTTGGCATCATAGTCATCAGTCTTTAGATAAATAATCGTCACAGGAATGTGAAATTAAATATGTCTTTTATTGCAGAAAAGAATGGGGATTAGAGACTTTTCTTCCATCTGCTGTGCTGCAAAGCATGAAAGAAAAGAACATAAAGAAAGCACTTTCACACCTTGTCAAAGCAAATCAAAACTTAGTTCCTCCGGGTAAAAAGGTATTACATTTGCATCTTAATGAAAAATATGTTTTAAAGAACAGAAAGGGTGGCGTGCACGGGAAACATTTAAAATTAATCCTTCAGAGAAACACCTAGCCATTATATTTTCAGGGAATATAGACAATTTAACTTTTGGTACTCAGTACAATATAGCCAAGAACAATTAAAAATAATTAATTATACCCCAACTAAACTATATTTTTATCTTGAGAATGCCAGAAAACTGGTTATTAATGCTTCATGTATGATAAAGATACATATTTTAAAATTCATTTAGTGCTTCCTATTAATGGCAGATTTGTTACGAAAGTTATTGTTCTCTCTCTGATGCTCAGATCTGAACCACATTAACCTATGGGCCTGACATAAATGCTGTTTTTCAGGATTGTTTTCCACGATGCTATAGATAGAGACTTTTCGCTGGCCAAGACCTAACTGTATAGATGATGCTCTTACAGTAACTGGCCCTCCTTGCTATTGTAAAATGCTTTTCTTATCACTAAGGTTTAACTTGAGCTGGAAAAAACATGTAGAAGACAATGACTGAGAAATGCCTTTGTTACACGCGTACAGCTGAGGCTGGTTTTAGACACCATAATGAGGTTTCTTTCTGCAAGTCATCTAGTCTCTCTTTGTAGTCAATGGAGAGAAACAGGCACTTCTAGGAAGCGATTCATCCCATCCCACATTAGGAACCAAAAATAGGTCAGATGGCTTGTGTCCTAGAAATGCCTATTTCTCTCCATGGACTATAAAAAGAACCTAAGAGTGACTAGTTGAGACATAAAATGAGTTGAATCCTGCTTCGTGACACTTTGCTTCTGAACAGAAAAACCCCAAAACACCCGGTGCCTAAGCTAAGGTTCATTGTGATCAGCAGAAATCCTACTTGGAGGTTTCAGATCATATCATGACTATGAACATAGCTCTATGTGTGTGACCTGCAATGCTCAGAAAGGAAGGCCACCTTTTTGACTGAAGCACTGCACATCTCCTATACTGCTGAAGCTAAAGCTAAATAATGCCAATTGCTTATTGTTTATCCTGGTAGTGTAAATTTGGGGTTATTTTGGAAGCCGTCGCTGCTGCAGGCCTTGCAGGTGATGACAGTGGCATACAGTGTCGGTTCTTGGTTAGAAGGGAGATTGCCACAGTCCCTTCCTGCAGCAAGCAGACTTCGTTGGTTTTGCTTCGTTCTTTTCGATTTGAGCTTTGGAAATATGTTATGTGCCCACCTGCTTTTTTAGCAGGTAGGTCTCAGAAACAAAGCATCTGAGCTCATCGTCAGCTTCTGTCTCACTTGTAGGTATTAATGCAGAAACTGATTTCTTTCTGGGGTCTTCTGTCCCTCCGCATGAAGGAAAGCCTGTCATTCTCAGGATTCTCCTGTTTTTTACAACCCTTGTGTACTTCTCCACCAACTGAACACCTGGTGAAGAGAAGGGGAAAGCATTCCCACTAGTTGCTCTGCTCTGGATTAATTTCCTCCTTGGTGTCTAGAAAAACCTTAGGATAGGGGCTCTTAAAATGCTGTTCAAGATCAAATGAGATTTTGAATTAGAAATCTAATGGCTGAAATGAGAATAGCAAATGAGATGAGCGTGTTTGATCTTATCTTTTAAAAGTCCAGATATGAGGGTTTATACCAGGGAGGTAAAAGATTTGGGTCCAGACTGTTTGGGTGAAATGAACTGTTTCTTGTTTCCATTCAGTCTCATAAAATATTTCCAAGTTGTTTCTTTTTAAGTTGGTAGTTTAAACTCAGAGGAGAAAAAGGAGATAAATTATGACATGTATTGCATGATATGATCATAAGTATTGGTGTACTGTATTTGGCTTTCAGATCTATTCCCTACTAAATATAGCGGAAGAGTTTTATTTAAAAAAAAGGGGAAAGCAGTAATGAGGTGGAATAATATGCCATATGCCAGAAGTACCTAGCAAAATGTAATACACAGAGCTGAGAAAAGCAAATTCTTCATTCTCTTTCTCTGTATAGGTACATAAATGTTTAAGAATTGATGGTGATTATGAATGGAAAGCTGCTGTTTAGCCTTGAAATCCCTGAATGAACAGATGTTTAATTTGAGTAGTTTAACATTTTCCCTTCATTGGAGTAGTTACGATGTTCTTGCATTGCTCTGATCTGCCCATACCCAAGTTCTCAGTGCATTTTAACTACACAAACCAGATCTTATTTTTAAGAATGAAACTGGTTTCCTCATCTGAAACTCGAGCATCTAATGATTTCGTTTCAGGCTCTGAAGAGCTGTTATTGCAGTCCATTCTTCTTAGACTACACAAATACATTTTCTTTCTGAATTTGGTAATGTGATGATTTCCACCACTATCTCTTACCCCTGTTTCTCCTTCCTCAGCTATCTGCTCTGCAAGCCAAGGTGCATTATCTAAAGTTCCTCAGTGATCTACGATTATATGGAGGGCGTGTTTTCAAGGCAACATTAGTGGTAATATTTCTCTTGAAATAGTCTCTCTCTTCCCTTGATTTTTTATCCAAATATCTTTTTGCAAAGGCTGGACCATATTATGTTCTTTAGAAGCTTAGGTTCTATTCATACACGTAAAAAATAATTGTTAAATTGAACCAAATCACTTTTTTTTCTTTTAATCTTGAAAATAACATTGCTGTTACAATTTGAATTTCTACTGAGGTTTTAGAGATAGGTTAGCACCCTTTTGGCAAATAGCACCATCCAACTAACTATAGAATACTAATATTATTAGTCTGAAAAGCTCTTGATGACAAAGATTTTCTTTTAACAGAAGCAGATTCCATCCATCCGTCTGTCCATCTTGCTATCCATTTAAAAACTACAGTACAGTCAATCTCCAGGAGCAGATTCCTCTACTTTTTGTTTTTAATTATGAATCAAGTATGCTCTTCTATATTGTGTCTTCTTAGAAAACCATAATAATCTTCAATGTAGAAATGCCATGCAAATGTAGCTCCATGAAGATGAAAGAAGGCAGTGGCGATTTCTGTCACTATGCAGTGCCTATCATGTTTTTTACTTTTGCTTTTTTTCTTTTTCTGCTAAAGCAGGGAGAAAAGCGTTCAGAAGTGACACTGTTAGTAGGGCCGCGGTACGGAATCAGTCATGTGATAAACACCAAAACAAACCTGGTGGCTCTTCTGGCAGACTTCAGCCACGTGAACAGGATTGAGATGTTTACAGAAGACGAAAGCAGTGTTAGAGTTGAGCTGCATGTCTTAGATGTAAAAGTAAGTTTGTTGTTGATTTATATTGATATAATATCTTTAAATAACATTTTTGTCTTTATTTAAGTATTTCATCAAGCTATACTGTTCTGAACATTTTCATGCCAATAATATTCTGAGGGTGCGTTTTTAGCTTTTTTGTGGTCAGAGTGCGTGTAGGGTATGGCTTGGGCATTTGAGGAGCTTACGGTGTACCAGACTGGTGCTTTGCAGCACTTGTGTTCTATTCTGATTTTTTTCTTGGCTGACCCCAGGCAACTTGCTTTGTTGTTGGCTTCCTTGATTTCCGTGATGGGAGGTGGTGATGATGAAATTGGCCTTCTTTTGAAGCTCCATGAGTCCCTAGAAGCTACTTCTAGTGTAACAGACAATATTATTACCATTAGAGAATCACCAGCTGCATCAGACCAGTGTGCCCTGTAATCCAGTGTTTTATCTGCAAAGTTCACTGCAAGTAACCACATAGCGGTTACCAATGAAATAAACTGTAAAAAGGCAAAGTTTTTTTCTTAGCCCTTATAATTCCAGTTAAGTGTTTTACCCTACATAATATATTCATCGATGCTCTTCATCTACCTATAGTAATTTAATTTCTCTTGAATCCTACTTAACACGGTGTCCGTGGCATCTCCTGGCAATAGGAGGAGTTTTGTATATTATGTTGTCCTGGTTCTTCTTGGTGTGTTTTCTATTAGGTTTTGAAGTGGAAGGCTTCATAGACTGTCTAGAGCATTAATCAGGATAACCAGAGATTGAAGGAAGAGTTCTCATTATACTTGAAACTTAAATATTCTATGAAAATAAATAGAGCCTAACAGTTCTTTTTGCTTAGCCAGCTGTACACAAAAAACATACACAAGGAATATTTTACTAAGCTTTTGCTTTGAATGCTTTAGATTTATTGATGTGGAACTGTTTCCCTGTATTTAAGTTAATGAAAAAAACATTGCTGTAAATTAATCTAGATGCTCTTTGACAGCAACTTAAGAGAAACGTACAGATTGGTGAACACAGCATCTCTTTCACCTTACTTAGCAATGATAACATCTGAGGATCTCTGGCTACTTTACCTGCATTACTGTGCTAAACTCATAGCCCTCTTGTGAGAAAGCTGTTATCCCCTTTTTGCAGATGGAGAAAGTAATACAGAAATTAAATCCTTCCCGTCTACTCGTATGTAAAATGCAGCACTGTATGCCAGTGTATTATATATTACATGATATTGTGTTGTTTTATAATCCTGTTACTGTCTTATTGCAAACCATCTCCTTGCATTTTGACACATGCAATCTTAAACCCAGAGAGACTGGCCTAACATTAAATTACAAATCTAGGAGGCTCTGGGTGGAATTTGACAAAAAATTGCCTTTCTGTGGGGCACAAGTAAGAGTTGTCATTGTGTCCTGGGTAAAAGATGCGGGCACACACAGGCAGTTATTCTCAACTGATGTTTTCATCCCTTGGTTTACCCTAAGGTAGCAGGTTCATATATCCAGATTCTGAATATGCCAATATATGTCATATATGCCAATATTTTCTTAATGAATAAATGAATAAACAGTTTGGATTTTTATTTTATTTTTGGTTCTGTTTAATGTCTTCTCAAGCATGTATCACTTGGCAGAAGCAGGCAGTAAAAGTTTAGCTGTCACAAGACTGTTCAGCAGATCAACAGTAGTTCACAGCACTGTTTTCAGCAATCTGAGATTTCTGTGGAGATCATCCATTTCTGTCAATCACTGCAGAAAATTTGAGATCAACATAGCATTTCAACTGTTAGTTTTAGCAGTCACTCGAAAGAAGAGAGATTAATTAGCCCATTGTAGGTTAAATAATTTATAGTTAACTTTTATAGCTATAGTTGAATGCTTTGAAAGAAGCATGTATTGAATAGAACCTCAAACTATAGCACAAAATACTTTAAAGAAAAAAAAAGCATAAATTTTTCCAGGTTGCTGAAAACTGTTCGTACAACATTCAGGGCACCCAGGGTATTTTGGCCTAAGATGCTGAAGCACAGGCATTTAAAAAATTATCAGACCTATTGTGGGTTTGGTAGTAAGCTATGATCATCAGTTATGTTTTAGCCACAGCCTCCATCAGAATCAGTTGTCTTTTGACTAGTAAGGGGTTGAGTAAGTTGGAAAGCCATCCTTGCTGCATGTAGTGTTCCTCCTGGAACAAATCTCTCTTGTGACAGTGGGCTCTGCATGCTAAATCATGATAAATTGTCACAAATGTCCACATAGCTATGAGTCTCTACAAACTGTGAGTGATAAGATGGGTTGTCTATGGTGTAATTTCTATCTATGTATCATGGTAAGGGCTTCATTTTTATTTCCTCTCTACGAGTTGTAGAGGCGAGGCACCTTGAAATAAATTTGAGAAGAGCAGCTTTTGGTGTTAAAAGCTACAAAGACTTGAACAGAAGTTTTAGGCAAAGTGGTTTATACATTGTGGCAAAAGAAAAGGAAATTAAAGAAAGTATGTCTCACATGGATGTCTCAGGTTCGATGCTCGGTAGCCTGGCAGCCATAGTTTTTCAAAGCTCTGAGGTCTCATTTTTCTGTTAGGTCTGACTTTTTTTTCTAAATGCTTTGAGTTTGTTTTCTTTGCTGATATTCCTTCTGAGGATCTTTCTCCGTTCTCTTTGTCTCTGTTTATCTGCTTATTTTTTCATCACTTGTCTTTTCAGTAATGCCAGGCCACAAACACTGAAGTCTTTAAGCTGTCATTGTAATTCCAGCACCTAAAGTACCGGGTTCTTAGCCCTTGGCAGTTTCAGAGTAACAGTAAACAGTGCTTTGGCAAGAATAATGTATCTATGCAAGAGAAAGATGGAGCCAGAGTCTTAAAACGGTTAGCTTCATTCAGAAAGAGAGCAAAATCAGTTGTTGAAATGTCCAGTTGGACTTCTATCTTACTGCAACTCCAGTCTTTTCTAAATGTTTGATACTGTTTGATACTGGTAGTGAGGAAAATAAGTTCTCGTGTGTGTTTTTCAATGTGGTGTTTGTGATGTAATTCCTTTTGCTTCCATGTAGTAGTATTGTCAGCAGATAAACAGATTGAGGAGGAACAGCCTTAACCAAGACTTGGTTGTGTTCTTCTTAGCCTATTACTCTACTGATGGAGTCATCAGATGCAATGAATCTTGCTTGCCTAACAGCTGGATACTATAGACTGCTGGTTGACTCAAGGCGCTCAATATTTAACATGGCCAACAAGAAAAATACAGGGAACCGAGAAACAGGTATTCATTGCACAGTATGTTAATGATGGTCCAATGTATAAAGCAGGAGCCAGCTTAAGCCAGTGCACCTCCAGATAAATACAAGGCTATGCCAAATGAGATCTGATTCCTGACTCAGACCTAGCACCATAGTATAGCAGTTCAGCTTTATAATGTTCTAATATCCAGCCTATGATAGCATCTTAATGGTAAAATAAAGCAGGTGATGAATTTCTTTCATACTGTAGTGAAACAGATGCATGCTCCCTGTGAGTGTTATTATTTTATACGCGTGTATCTTTTGTAAGAATACACATGGTGTTGGAGAAACTAGCGGGGGATTTGGTTTTGTGTTACTATTCCTGGAATAGCATTTGTACCTAGCTGAGGTTTAGTTTTGTACTAAAGTACAAAAGTACCAGTTAAACTTTAGGTCATTGAATCAACAGGTATTTAACTTAGAGCAGAGATAAGTTTGAAAGTGCTTTTCTGAAGTGTTTGATGCCCCAGCTGTCCTATTCAGAGTGTTTATTGCTCAGCATTAACAAGTTATTGTTTAAAAATTACATGATTTTGCTCTTTGATTTCACAATATTGATTTTATTTCACCACACTATAGGAACTGAAAATAGAGGGAAACATAATCTCCTTGCTTCTGAGTGGAACTGTATACCAAAAACGACCACTTTCCTGGCTGAAGGAGATCAAGAGACTCAAATGTCCTTTGCTGATCCAAAACAGAAGACTGTAGATGTTTCTGAAAGTCTGTTATGTCAAAAAGAACACAGACATCTGTACATAGAAAATACTTATAATTCAGGTGGATTTGATCAGCATCTGGCCAAACAAAGTGACCCCACTGAAGCAGAAGAAAGCAGAAATTTTAATCAGCCTTCACTGCTGTCACTCTCAGGTTTGGAATCTAGCAAGAAAGCACAGGATTCCCCCAGGGGAGCAAAAGTTTCCTTTATATTTGGAGATCACAACTTGGATGGTATCAATCCCCAGACTCTTGGCTATGAAAGGCTTTTGGATGAAAGTCCAGAAGTACTAGAAAAACAAAGAGCCATTTATATTAGTAATGCCAATGACATTAAAGGCCTGGAGTTGTCACCAGATGCTGAAAGCATTCAATTTGCTACGAATTCTGTTTATGCAACTATAAACGATGGTAAAATATTTGGAGCTGCGGAAGGGATAGAAGAGCCTTTGCTGCATGATATTTGTTATGCAGAAAACACAGATGATGCCGAAGATGAAGATGAAGTAAGCTGTGAAGAAGACATTATGGTAGGAGAAATCAGTAGGCCTGCTCTTCTCAGCCTTTCTGGTTCTAATGATGACATTATTGATTTGACTTCACTTCCACCTCCGGAAGGTGATGATAATGAAGATGATTTCCTATTGCATACCTTAAACATGGCCATTGCTGCTCCTCCACCTGGCTTCAGGGACAGTTCAGATGAGGAAGACTCTCAGAATCAAGCAACACAGCCTAGAGACAACAAGGAGCAAGCCAGTAATCTAGGCAATGATGACATTCCAGTGTCGCTTATCGATGCTGTCCCTACTAATACAGAGGGGAAGTGTGAGAAGGGGCTAGATGATGCTGTAGTCTCTACACTTCAAGCACTAGAAGCTTTGGCTGCTTCAGAGGAACAGCAGACGAATGACAATTCAGGTTCTTTCACCATAGTTACATTTATTCATTGAAAATCATTCCATTTCATCCCATCCATTTAGCTTTGGAAATACTCCATTTCATGAGGGTTGGGGTTTTTTTTGGTTTTCTTTTTTTTTTTTTGCCATCATTTTGCATACATCATATTCCATATTATTTAATGGAACTACCATTATGTTACTAAACTACTTGTCCTGGGAACTGTGCAATAAAGTCAGAGTATTCTTACCAAGCATATTTTTGTCTCTAACACACCCCCTTTGCTTGTCACTTATCCAGGTGCTTCAGCTGCTGTCATTTAATTGACTCTTATTTTTTGTGGCTTGCAGGTGTAGCTATCCTGCGAGCATATAGCCCTGAGTCATCTTCAGATTCTGGCAATGAAACAAATTCCTCTGAAATGACTGAAAGCTCTGAACTAGCCGCGGCACAGAAACAGTCAGAAAACACTGCACGTATGTTTTTGACCACAAGTGAAGGCTACCAACCCCTTGTGGAAGAGCAGACTGAATTTCCCATTGCTAAGAATCAGGCTGGAGGGCCAGGCATGAAGCCCTCACAGCCTTTGGCTGGTCGTCAGGCTGCAGAGCTACAGTCAAAAGTTGTGCCTTCAAAGCAGATTCTTCATTCAGATAACATGGAAATGGAGCCAGAGACCATGGAAACTAAATCTGTCACTGATTATTTTAGCAAATTGCACATGGGATCCTTGGTATATTCTTGCACTAGTAAAAGGAAAAATAAGATGACAGACAGCAAAGTAAAAGCACCCTCAGATGGCAATGCTACTGTGAAAAAGCAACAGGGAACTAAAAAAGCAGAGACTGATGAAGATCTAAAAGCTAAATTTGGAACTCTTTCAGCAAGAGACAGTCAACGCCTAAGCACTTTTAATGTGGAGAGAACTGCCTTTCGCCAAAGATGGTACACTGCCGATGATGGGGCAGCAGATAAGCCAAGCCCAGAAACAGTGAACGGGAAGACTTTTCCAAGAGTTCCTGTCCTTGGTAAAACAGAAACTGACTGTAAGGATGAAGTGGATCCTGAGGTGGATCAGGATGATACCTCGGGGCTTAGCCAAGGTGAAAACTTTCTGTCAGATATGACTCCCGTGTCTTCAGCCAAAGACCTAAACGACGCAGAAGATACCGATTTATCTGCAGATGACCATCCTTCAAAGCTTCCAGAAGCTGAGCAGAGCGTGGCTAGACTTTGTGAATATCACTTGGCTAAGCGCATGTCATCTCTGCAAAGTGAAGGCCATTTCTCACTGCAAAGCTCTCAGTGCTCTTCAGTGGATGCAGGATGCAGCACAGGCAGTAGCACGTGTGCTACCCCCGTTGAATCTCCTCTTTGTACCTCTGATGTTAAGCACATTATCTCTGACCCATCAGTGAAGGGCATTGCCTATATTCCAGCAGATGAAAGAGCTGCCATTCTTCCAAACCATGGAACGACATACAAGGACCTGCACCAGCAGCCTGAAGCCGTATGTCACAGAATGACGGTGCCTGTCGTGCATTCAGCAATTAATGCTGAACCACTGTTCGGCACTTTGAGAGAAGGATGTCATCGGATCCCCAAGATAAAAGAAACTACAGGTACAGCAGTAATAAAAAGTTTCTTACGTTTGTTTTAAAGCTACGTGTTAAGGTTGAGGACTAGGTGTGATGTTTGCATTATCTTTACCTGAAACTTCATCATCAAGCTGTAGAAGACAGTGGGATTAGACCTTCGGTGTATCTATTCAATTTACTTGTACATGTTGAGATGTTCTTATGAGCAGCTTACAAAGAATTTTTTTTAAAACCTCTCATTACAGTTAAAAATATTTGGGAGGACGTTAATGGAGAGGCCTCTCTTCCACTCTTTGGAAGCCTCTCCAAAATCCATAGTCACTTGAGTTCCAGGATACATGTTAGATTATGAGATGACTTCACAAGGTATATTAATGTAGGAGAGGAAAAACTGTGATTCATTTATTATGTATCTTATATGCTATTTTAGCAGATTGTCGAAAACATGCCAGTATGAATAAAAAGCTCTAAATGTAAGGATGAGAAAATGTCACTATCTTATTAAGCATGTATTTACTTCACCATCTGACAGTAGGTGTTTCCTTAAAGAATAATTTACATATAGAACCATTACTGCGTTTTTAAGTTCCAATTTCAAGAGGTTTTGTGAACTTACTGTTATAAAAAAATGCAGTTTTTCAGAGAGAACATTGGAAATGCTTTCAGTTGGGTTTTAAATGTTTCTCTCTTCCTGGGTTGCAACCCACATATAGCAGTGGTGTGTGAATGCATGAAAATCCAAAAGTGGGACAGACTAGGAGCAAGAATGAGAAATGTTATTTCTCTGCCAAAAAAACACATTACCAAACCAAAATCATCATGAATACAGCTTTCCATACCCTCTCAGGTATAGTTAAAGAAGGTATTTTAATCTGAAAATATTCATCTAATTATTTAATAGAAAATAGCCAATCCATATATTGGGGGAGATTTAGCAAGTTTTATAGATGATTTTCTATTCCTTTTTTTAAACGAGTCTGCTGTGGTGGAATGAACAATTAACTATTCATAAGTTGTAAGCTGTTGATAGATTGAAATACAAAAGACAGGAGGAACTAGCAATGAATTTTTTGTGAAATATTTTGAGGAATGGAGACCACTGGGAAATACCATGAATCCATTTGTCCTGACTGTTAAAAATATTTAAAAATTCAGTCTCTGAATATTATCAGGGTGATGCTTAATTATTCTGTCTGCTCTTCTACTACCCCTAGTGTAGCTTTCACAGAGCCTGAAAAGGGAAGACAAGGAGGCATGCCTACAGCTTTTCCTAGACAGCCTCTAGCTGACTCCATCATGCTATCATCCATGCTATCAGAATCAAAGGTGCCAAGTCAAAATCAAGACTCTTGTGACATTCCCAAAGTAAATCAGGCTTGTGGGGCAACAGTTAGTTTACGGCCATATGACATGATAGGAGGAAGCCTCAGGATGCCGCACAACAGGAAAGTGCTGAGACGCAGCAGCAGCATCATTGGAGGATCTGCAGGCATTGAGATGCTGTTTGAAAAGAAGGCAGCCGCAGCCAGCTTGAAATGCCTGGACACCACCCGAAGGGACGAATCCAACTCAGAGAGAAGGGTGGAACTCCCCCTGGGCAAAAAGCTGTCAAAAAGTTATTCCCAGGGTTGTGTTATTCCCAGCACTGATAGGAAGGACAGTAAGAGGTGTTCAGGCACAGGCGCCAGTCAGAAGGACTCCAAGCAGTGTCGAATGTTGCCCTTGCGGAAGCTGGACACCAGCGCCTGGAGGTGTCGTGGCCCCTTTAGCTATTGTTTCCTAAGCAGGGGAAACGATGACAATGACGATGAAGATGATGGAGACAGCCATCAGCTCTCGTGTCTCTTCGAACCACAGCTCCCGTGTGAGCTCGCAGAACCAGTCGGTCAGTCGTTTTCCAGTGAAAATGAGCAGAAAGTCTTGGAGTTCCCGAAAGCTGCTGAGCCCCTGCAAGAAGAGGCAGTCGACGTGCATGAGAAGAGTGCTGACATCCAAGGTGGCCAAATTGATGTGAATCTCAACGATGTGGCCTTCGATGCACGAATCACGCAAATAAATGTGATGAAAGAGAAGACGTATGCAATGCCTGATGGATTTATTGCAGCACAAAAGGATGCCAATGAGCTACTCTCACTGGTCCGAGCAAGTATGGGCAAGAGAGAAGATTTACATCCAGAAACATATGACCTTAAACTTTCTAAGTACAAACAACTGTTATCTATGGAATCGAGACAGTTGGGAAGTGCCTGCAGGAAAATGGCCATGGCTGATAAAAGCCCTGAGGAAATGCTTTTAGCTATGACTTCCAGCTTTCAAGTACTCTGTTGCTTAACAGAAGCCTGCATGCGTTTAGTTAAAGTCATGAACTCTGAAACACAGCAGCAGGAAATTATAGCTAAGATAGACGAGGTTGTAATAAACTACATTTGTCTTCTGAAGGCTGCAGAAGCAGTGTCAGGCAAGACCTCCAGTGATCCTAGCATTAAACTCTTGGCTCGACATTCAACTACCATGGCCGCTATTGTAAGCACACTAACACGTTCTCTTAAAATGCTTTTAAACAAATAAAATACAAAAGTCACTTCATAATCTACCTTTGCAAAGCCATACATAAAAAACTTTTATTTACTGTATGTGTATGAACTAATGTAACAAACTCAGCTTTCTCTGTATATTTTGTTATTTTATATAAAATAGGTATGAGATTAAAAAAAAAAGTAAAATACTGAACACTGACAAAAGTAATGACCAGATCTATCCTTCCGTTTATACAAAAACAAAAGCCAAAAAAACCCTCTCCCCAAGACCAGAAAAATGAACAGAAAAAATCCCATATAGGAGCAAATTGATGTTTGGCTATTTTTCATATAGTCAAATCTATGGTTGTATGAAGTGAACTTTTAAAGCCTGTTATGTCAACAAAGTTGTTTTCTGTTTCATCCAGGTTTTCACTTGGAGAATGCTCCGTGTTTAGAAATGAGAAATTAAATCATAATGTATATAACACAATATTTAATGTTTTAAAATTATAATTTTTAAGCATTGAAAATAGCAAAAAGACATTTAAAATCCAAGAGACTATTATAACTTACTAGAGAATATATATAAAATAAATGACTCTTTTGTTCATATGGCCTGAATTACCTGATTCTTCTTTTCTAGGAAGTTCTATATTTAAAAAAAAAAAGAAAAAGTATTGAAAATACCAACTTTAGAGAGTATCTGTTGTATTGAACATTACAGTGTCGCATTTCAGATAGTGAAGGTAACTGTGGAAGACAGAGGACCCAGAAATTAGAGTGTCGTCGTTCTCTCTGAAATGAAAGGTTGATGCCATACTGATCAGACCAGAATGTATAGGGCAGGTCTACACCCTCCTTTCCCTGACAAATGAGAGAGAGGACCATCAGGAAATTCCTATGCTGTTTACTGTTTCATCATATATCTATGGTGCATCTAAACAACATGAACTGCATCTATTTTGTTAAATATTTTATACTTCATATTTTATGATTCTAAATGTTTAACTGTAAATAAGTTAGAAATAAAATGAAGTTTTCAGAATACAATAAATATCTCTGAAATATTTCCAGCCAGAGACAGTTCTTCTTCTGAGTGATGACAAAGGCAATTTGTGAGTAATCTCTCCCATCTGAACTTTTCTGGAAAACATTTTGTAGTCTTGCGTTTGAGAGGCAGCCAAAGCAAAAGCTCTCAGTTTCACCTGGCAAATAGGCTTTCTCAAGAGCATCTGTTAAACTTTTCAGTCACCGAGGAGCAGCAGCCCTTGTGGAAAGTGCAGAATACCATTCTCCCGTCTGGTGTAGGTAATTTTCGTCTGTTTCTCATAATGTCGTATGCAAAGAGTATTACTGCTCTGTTTTGAATATTTACCCATTCAGCTGAAGCACATGTGAAGCTTTCTCTGCTGAACTAGAAAGACTAAACCAACAAGATTAAGTTTTTGCCAAGGAAATATTTTCTTGCATAGAGTGATGTACTTCACTATGAAACCAAGACGTGCTTTTTCCTCCAACTGCAGAAGAACATCTCCAGAAACACAGTATGAGAAGCTTAATCTGCTGTCCGTAGGAGAAAAATCTGGTTTCCTAGACCAATTCACTTAACACGTGGACCCACTCTCGAGGGCAGCTCAGAGGTAGGCTGCAGGCTGAGTTACGTTGGTGGTGGGTGACGACAGCCTGTCCCCGTGGGTGCTCACACTCAGTGCTCTCATTCTGGCAGCCCTGGGAGTGGGGCTGTGCGCGCTGCTCTTTTGCTGCAAGTACCAGTGAAATTCTTTCTGTGGTTTTGAGTATTTCATACTGAGGAAGAATGTGCTGAATTGTTGTATGGGTACATATTCCTTCACTGCTTTGTGAGTTTATGTAAAAATGTCATCAGTGATTCAGAAATACTAAGTTTCAAAAGTAGGTTTAGGATTATCACAACTAAGCAGCAACACAGATCATAGGGATGTGGCACTTCCAGGGTTGCTAGTCCAGTCCTTTTCATTCCGCTCCGTTTCATAAATTGATCTAATTTTATTTCGAAGGTAGGTAGATTTTTATCCTTACTGTTTAAGAACTTTTCTGATTGTAAACCTGCTCATTTTGCTCCCTAAGGTTAACTATGGTCTTCTTTTTTGTGGCAATATTTTTTAGGTTTATCTAGTGGGTTTTTTCCCTCTCCTTCGTAATGCATTTTCACAGACTCATAGAATAATTTGGGTTGCAGAGGACCTCTGGAGTTCATCTAGTCCAACCCCTGCTCAAAGCAGGTCTAATCAGATGAGGCTGCTCAGGGCCATTTCAAGTTGGACACCCTCCAAGGACGGAGATCCCACAGAGATACCTCTCTGGGTACCTGTTCCAATATTCGACAATCCTTATGGTTAAAAAAAGAAAAATTCTTTATGTCTAATCAAAATTTTCCATGTTCCAACAATATCTATTGCCTTTCATCGTATCGCTGTGTATCTTCTAGAAGTCGGGCTCTCTCTTCTCTGGTATCCTTCCATCAGGCTGCAGTAGGCTGCAAGAAAGTCTCCCCTGAGCCTTCTCTCCTCCAGGTGGAATAAACCCAGTTCCTTCAGCCTTTCCTTGTATGTTGTGTGCTCCAGCCCCTGACCAGCATGGTGACCCTCCACTGGACTCGATGGTGTGAAGCTTCAGAAACTGCCACCATGTTCCTGTCTCAGTTTAGATAAATAGGAACATCTAGCCGAGCTCTCCGAGTCACCTCTTTGAAGGCAGCTTCTCTTTCCCGCAGGAATTTCCCCAGGTATCCCCATAGAATCATAGAATCATTAAGG